TGGGCTAAATTCCAATGAAACGAAAGGAAACACAAAGATCATCACATGGTCAATCAAGATAATGGTTTTGTTAGTAACGAAGACAATTAAATATGTTGTTCATGCAATGTGTAATATGCAATTTTATGTATTTTATTCAATTTGATGGTTCAATGATGCATGCAAAACTTGTTACTTTATAATATTCATTCAGTTTATGATGTTCATTAACTTTGTATTAAAAAAAAATTTGTTCGGCATATCAACTTGTGTTATTAATTTTAATAATTTTATTGCACCTAAATTGTATTTGACATGTTTTTATAACTTTGTTTTTTTCATTTTGTTTCAAATTTGGCTTTGTTATTAGCTTAAATGGTAGTTTATGAATTTAATTATTTTTTTTTACTAGTGAAATAATGGTTTTGTTACTATTCGACCCATAAAGTCATTACAGAAGCTGAACAGAAGCGAAGTTTGAAAAGCTCACCAATTTCCCTCTGTTGAGAAACTCACCAATGATTGACAATTTAATTATTTTTTTTATTACTGCAATAATGGTTTTGTTACAAATTATTTTTATCTTTTTGTAAAACAAAATGTGTAATTAGGTAGAGTTTTGGGTTCTAAATTTTATTTAATGTTTTTTCCATTTTATTAAAATAATGGTTTTGTTATTAATTAAACTTTTGTATAATTGATTTGTACATGACATATCCGTCTTTTTGACTTTTTGTGAAATTTTAAAGAATTTGAAAGTTTTGTTATTAATTCGGTATTCATTCAGTTTTAAATTTTTTGTTCTTTTTAACTTTGTGTGGGCAAGTTTAAATTAACTTTTTTTTTTCGTTTTCATTAAAAAAAAAGTAGAATTATTATTTTATAACTTGTTTTATTTCATTTGAGAACATTATTTTTTGTTAATTTATTTTTTTTCACCTTGTTAACTTTCTGGTTTTGTTATTAATTTAATTGTTGTTATTAATTGATACACACCAATTATTTTTTAATTTTTAGTTTTCTTCATTTTATTGAAATGAAGGATTTGTTAGACATTTATTAAGTTCTTTTTTTAAAGTTTTGTACAAATATTTTTTTCTAAATATTAATCTAACTCACACATTGTTATAACATTGTGACTGGTTAATTTTACAATGCAGAAAAAAAAACTTTGTTATTCATGACGTGAATACAAAAGATTATAACAAAATAACAAAAAAAAAATACACAACAAAATGAGAAAACAAATAACCAAAACAAAAAAAGAAAAAAGAAAAAAAATGTAACCAGTACATCTGTGAACCATTTAAACTAATTTTTTGAACAAGTTAAGCATCATTGTGTGGTGGTGTTGGAGGTGGAGAGAAATAGTGATGGTACAGCTGAGTGACTCAATGGTCAATCTGATCAATGCGGTTCCTTGTCACTTTATCACGTCTTCTTGAGTCTACACGAAACTTACCAAATTGTTGAATTAGTGAGTTCTGAGCGACGGCAAATTCATCGAACCGAGTACCCAATGTATTGAGCTGATTAGCCATTTGTTGTTCCCAATGTAGGTGCTGATTGTACCGTTCTTGTTCCAAGGCCAAATAATCAGTCCAGTAATGGGGTTGTTCATTTGGTGGCATGAAATTGTCATTGGGTTGTTCCTCATCAGGTATTGGTTCATTTTCAATATTAATAGAGCCCATCAAGGTGTCAGCACCGCCAGCTCGGGTCAGTGTGTACTCAGAAATTGGTGAAGTGGTTCTGACATATACTTCACCTTCAAGGTTGACATCATGCGCTTTGAAAATTATGATTAACAAAGCTCCAAAAAGCAGTGACCGGCCACTCAGAGTATCCAATTTTGCAATCATCATTTCTTTCAGTAATATGAAGCATAAATTTAATTTTTGTCCAATTTCAAAACAATATAACAAATAAACATTAAAAGATGAAACAGTATCATAATGTCCTTTTTTGGGAGTGGCATTTTCAACTATCCATCGGTGAAGAATACGAAGGTGGGGTTTTAAATGCCTGGCTTGTAAATTAGTGTCGCTGAATCGATTGTCACAAATTGTGGTATAAATCTGACTGACATCATCAACAATTTTTTCTAAGGCAGATTCATTTTGAAAATAGCATTGTAAATCTCCTGTTTCAACTCCAATAATTTGTGCGAAAGCACGGAGACTGAGTGTGATTATTTTCCCCTTCACATAAGAAGTTAGACTGAATGGTTCATTTTGTTGGTCACCAGGTGTCTAGTGAACATAAAATAATTATACAAGATGGGGATATACTTTATTTGGTAAATTAGTTAAAGGTAACCATCCCATTGTATCTAATTTACCAAGTAAAAGTGGATCATATTGAGAAGGTAGTTTTACATTTCTCCCCGTAACAATTGGTCGATTAATAAAATGTGAATAAGCTTGTTCATGATGATACGTTAAAAAATCATTATTTGGATTGTCATGTTGTTGTTGCTGTGGCTGATGTTGTACAAGGTTTGAGGATTCACCATGTTCGGGTCTAATTCGTTTTGTTCTTCTCATGATGACTGCAAAAGTGAAAGAAAAATGTATGAAAAATGTATCAAAAATATATGAGTTAAGAAAAATGTATGGAAAATATATCAAAAATAGTATGATGTTGGTGTGAAAAAATGGAACAGATATGGAAAAAAGGAACAGATCGGCAACAGATAGGGAAATTGAGTGCGAATTGGACTGAGATGGGATGACCGGCCGGATGACCGGCCGGTTGTCCTGGTCCTGAACTGCAACTACTCTCATCTTCGACTATCTGAAACTACTCTGAAGGTAATATGAAATGTGAAGCTAATATGAACTAGGATGAAACTAACCTTTAATTGAATTCTTTCTTCTTCCTTCACACATCACATTGAATTTAATTAATGTTGTTTTGTGATGGAGCTGTTGAAGGTGCTGCAAGGAGATGGTGAAGATGGTGTGGTTAAAGGAATGAGGATTCAGATTTTATAGAAAGGTTGATGTTTGAAAGGTTCAAATTGTTTTTTTTTTTTTTTATTTCTTATCTATTATTTTTTTAATATTATTAATTTTTTAATAATATTACATCCGTGTACTGAACACACAGCTGCATCGTTTGCATCGTCTCCCTTTTTCTTTAGCCAAGCGTTGAACACACAGCTATGATACAATAGGTGGTAGGTAGTAGATAAGTGAAATTACTATATTACCCTTTTCATTTTATTCTTATGTAACAACTTCTCATTTAAATCAAGAGGGGCAAAATAGTCATTTTGCACGCTATTTCACCCAATTATATGAGCTTCACGGGTGCTAATTATGGAAGTACAATAATGCATGGTCAATCTGTTACGACTTTATTACTAAATTAATAACATGTAATAAATGGGAAAAAAAATTGATAATGTTTTGTAAGGTTTTCGTTATGATTTGTACTTTAAAATGTTAAACTTAGTGCATTTATGTTAATTTTTATTCATATGTATTCTCAAAAGTTGTCGACTTTAACAAAATTTTAGAAAAAAATAAAAAACGTATTGTACAAGATGTTTGTACAGGCGTAAAAAATGAATTGATAGAAAAATTAATTGACACAAAATAATTGACATAGATTTATTTTAAAATGAAAAAATTATTTGAAAAAAAAAATATTCAAAAAAATTACTGAAAAAAAATTAATTGAAAAAAAATCAATTTTTAATTTTAGTATTTTAAAAATATTTTGTTTATTATTATTGATAAAAAATACGGATATCGATATATGAGTTGTGTGTTTGATTATAAATTATTAGCTGAATTAAGTTTTGAAAACTATTTTCAAAACACATCACCAAACAAATTTTCTTATTTCACATGTCACATCAAACTTTCAAAACTTAATTCAAAATACATCTTCAAAACACAATTCAACACTCTATTTAAAAACCATAACCAAACAAATTTTCTACACTCAAATCATAATTCCACAACAACCAAACTCAAAATATAACTCATCCTCTCAAATCACATTTACAAAACTCGACCAAACGCAACCTTAGTTTTTCTAAGATTAGTTGTATATTAATTGTAAATTGTGAACATTCATATTGTATTTTAGTATGAATTTTTTTTTATAAGTTTTTTTCGATAGTTAATTGTATTTTGTTATTTTTTTACTATGTTTGTTGGTTGAATAATCATTTTTGTTAACATTGAACAATCAAAATAGTCAATTTTCATGTTGTAGTGTGAATGTTCACATTGGTATGAGTTTATTTTTTTTAAAACTAGTTGCATATTAATTGTATATTGTAAACATTCACATTGTATTTTGGTATAAATTTTATTTTTTTGAAACTTAATTATATGTTTGTTGTTTTTGTTACTATACTTGTTATTTGAACAATTATTTTTGTTATCATTGAACAATTAAAATAGTCGATTTTCACTTTTTAGAATTTTGTTTTATATTTTTAAGTTGCAATGTAAATGTTCACATTGGTATGAGTTTTTTTTTTTTAAGGCTAGTTGTATGTTAATTATAAATTGTGAACATTCACATTATATTTTGGTATGAATTTTATTTTTTCGAAAATTAGTTGTATGTTTGTTGTTTGTTATTTATTGTGAACATTCATATTGTACTTTAGTATAAGTTTTGTTTTTTTCAAAAGTTAGTTATATATTTCTTGTTTACTGTAAATATTCACATTGTATTTTGATTTTCATTCAGATTTTTTATTACGTTATTTTTTAAATTTTCAAATTATAAAAAGGTTCAAAATTCATAATTTAAGATTTTTTACATAGAATGTGAGAGATTTTTTTTTTAGAATAAGAAGAGATTTTCTCCATAAAATAAGAGAGACGTTTTCTTCATAAAATGAAAGACTATTGTTAAACATGTGCAAAAAATTAAAAAATGATAATTTGATCATATTACATAAAACAAGACTTAATGAAATATTCAAAAAGAATATGACTTAAATAGAATAAATAGAATTTTCAAAAAGAATATAAGTTAGATGGAACGAAACACTTAAAAAAAATATATCAAAAAAATGACCCTGAAAAATTCTTTATCTTTTTGTAATTATTTGTCCAACCTCTCGCTCATGTATAGTTTCCCATTTTCGTTTAAGCCGAAGGAATAAAGGGTTCAGGAATAAGCAACTGTTTTGTAACAACCTTTTTCAATTTTCATGACAACAAAGTCAAAGCGTGATCACGTTTCTCATGTCACAAAGACAATTTCATACACTCCCTCCCATTGTGACAATTGTCACAATTTGGTAGCCTTCCCTCTTTTTCTCTTCTCCTTCCTATGTCTGCCCTTTGTCCCCTCTCACTCTCTCTGTCTCTCTCTCTCTCTCTCTCCTCCCATATATAACTACCCACCATCCCCCTCCCCCAATACTTAGTTCTACTCTCGTTCTTCCCAACTTCTCTTCTTGCATACACACACACATACAAGCTTCATCACCCATAGGACAAAAATGGTCGAATCAAATCCCCCTCTCCTCCATGACTTCGGGCAACTTCTACTCCGCCACCCGGGTGAAACTTGTGCCTCTTGTCATCGCAATGCTCGTGACTGCGTAGCAAATGAAGAAATGGTGATATTGGAAGAATGTGAACTCCCATTGATAGACCTTGGTGGGCTAAGGAGCAAGGACGAAGGAGAGAGGCGAGCGTGTGCAGCGGCAATTTGTAAAGCATCCTCGGAGTGGGGATTCTTCCAATTGGTGAACCACGGCATAAGCCTTCAACTCCTCGCGGAAATGAGGAGAGAGCAGGTGAAGTTGTTCAACAAGCCCTTCGAAAGAAAGGCTACTTGTGGACTTCTAAACAATTCTTACCGGTGGGGAAATCCCACGGCAACTTCCCCAAAGCAGTTCTCATGGTCTGAGGCTTTTCACATTCCTCTCACAAAGATTTCCGAGGAAGCTTGTTACGGAGAGTTCGACTCTCTAAGGTACTGACATTTTGACACTCGTTATAAAAAATGTATAACTATTTCAGCTTTGCTAACAAGTAGTGTCTTAAACTCTCTAAGGTACTGACATTTTGACACTCGTTATAAAAAATGTATAACTATTTCAGCTTTGCTAACAAGTAGTGCTCTTTAAGACGCTTGTTAACGAAATCCTACTCTCTGTTCTTTCTCGCTCTTTAGCTTATGTCAGCAAACACTAGTTAATGTGGGTGCATATATATAGGAAAGTGATGCAGGAGTATGCAGCAGCAATGCAAGAGCTAGCAAATGAACTTGCAGGGATTCTAGTAAAGAATTTGGGTCACCAAAAGGAGGGAGTGTTTGGAGAGAGTTGCAATGGAAGTACATGTTTTCTTCGGTTGAATCGGTATCCGCCATGTCCGTGGTCACCGGAGATTTCTGGATTAGTGCCACACACCGACAGCGATTTTCTTACAATTCTTCACCAAGATGATCGAGTCGGTGGACTTCAGCTCATGAAGGATTCCAAATGGGTCGCTGTCAAACCCAATCACGATGCCCTCATCGTCAACATAGGAGATCTTTTTCAGGTAACCCCAATTCAGCTTCCTTCACACTCAAAATAAAAAATAATAAATGAATAAATCACAGTATAAATTGCATTTTTGGCATGTATGTTTGTCCAAATGTGTCCCAAGTCAAACTAACTCGAGTCTCTCTCTCTCTCTCTATATATATATATCGAATTGCAGGCATGGAGCAATGATGTATATAAAAGTGTGGAGCACAAGGTGATCACGAATGCTAAGGTGGAGAGATACTCAATAGCCTACTTCTTATGCCCATCTTACGACTCCTGGATTGGGAGTTGCAAAGAACTTTCTTCTATTTATAGAAAATTCACATTCGGAGAATACAGAAAACAGATTCAACAAGATGTCAAGATGAACGGTCACAAAGTAGGCCTTCCCAGATTTCTGCGTTAGAAAACAAAAAAACAAGAACAGGGAAGTGTTCGAGAAGAACACATATATCCAGAAACTCAAACTAGTAATTTATGATAGAAATTAGACAAATAGCAATAGTGGCATATGTCAATGAAGACTATTTGATCTATACATTGTATACAATATGAAGGTTTTGTCTTGTATCAATTTGTGCTACTACAGATGACGATAAATAAATAAACGACAGAGAATTTGTTTTTCATATATGTCAAGCTCATACTTTAGTTTACAAGTACTTTTGTCCTTCCAAATGCTAGAGAATTAGATTCTCATAAAATCAGACCAGCACAAAAACAAAAGCATGCACCATGCTATATGCTGGGGCTCTTTAAAAATCCGTTCAAACCGGTAATTCGGACCAAATCAGACCGAATCGTACGGTTTAGTTCGGTTCTATTAAGAATTGGTTCGGTTTCGGATTAAGAAATATGAGAACCGTAAAAACGGTTCGGTCAATGGATTTTATGAAAAAACCGCGGTTCGAACCGAACCGAATTTTAAAAGATATATATATATATATATATAATATCAAGTTTTATTTTTATTAATTGGTTTTTTATAATTTTAATGATATTAGGATGATATAGATATGTAACATTAAGTAATGCCTTAATATTATTAGTTTTTATCATGAGTTAAATGTAATTAGTTTGAGTAATTATTTTGCTAATATTAACAATTTTTTTTGTAAATAGAAATTTTTAGAACCGTAAACCAAACCAAAACCGAACCGTTTTTTCGATTTGGTTCTGGTCCGGTTTTACAAGTGTAACGGTCTGGTCTGGTTCTCAAATCACAGAACCGTTAGGATTGGTTCGGTTCTTGGATTTTCTCAAAACCGAACCAATCCAGACTGTGTACACCCCTATTATATGCCAAAAAATAAAATAAAATAAGAGGACACGAACGCAAAAGGATTAAGTAATGAAAGCATATAGGAAAAGTAGTAACATAAACAAGCCTACAGTGTTAGAAACAGTCATAAAATTCCACACCAATTTAATTTTTATTTTTACTTTTTAACTAGATTTCAGCAAAAAAATACATAAAACCACGTGTACCAAATACAACCATGGACCATCCTTTTTAGACAGTTCAACCACTTCAGCAGGCAATAGCGTTCATAAGCTTCAAATACAGTCATGTCTGTACCCATACTTCTTAGGTATTAAAGATCGAGGAAACTGTCCATACTCCATCAATAGACAGGAAAGTAATAAAACTAGGGTTTATTGGTAATTAAAGGATTAGTCTATATTGTGCAGACAAACAAGATACAACATTAATAAAACGCAGATCATCATCTACTTGAGAAGAAAAAATAACATAAGAATAAGAAGGGAGAGAAAACAAAAAAAACCAACAACAACCACTATTACAAATTATGAGTGAGAGTGACTAAACAATTAATAACACAACTATCATAAATTTTCTGCACACCCTTCAAATGAAAAGAAAGATTAATAGGTGTAGATGATGCACCTACAGGATTATGATATTGGGATGAGTAGTCATAAAAATCAACTAACAATTGTACAAAGATCAACAGAATGGCGTACAGAATCCTGCTTCGCTGTACCATATGGTTTATATTAACAGATAACAGAGTTGAGCATCTTATTCAGTCAAGAAACATCGCCACTTTGTCCTTGAGACTGCTTTTCTTCTTTGTCAATGGGACTAGTTCCTCTGCACCAATGTTATTCTGCCTTTGTTTTTCAAACTCACAGGAGAACATCATATCCTCTGTGATTAACTCAATCTTGTTTTTCTCCACACGGGGTTTCTTCAGCAAGGGACCCAAAAACAGATCTAGCATGTCTTGAGCAGGGTCTCCTGTTCTAATGGGATTGACTACACTTTCTTCAAGTGCCAAAGTTCCAGTTGAATTATGAACAGACACTATTTCTTTATGTGTTGGTGATCTCCTGTTGCTTTGAAGAGCATTGGGAAGCCCTCCTGACTCATCCCCGGATAAGGCAATAGTTGTATGTGGTCTTTCGACTTCATGTTCTCCATGTGATGACCATTTTTTCTCGCTATGTTCATCAGTTCTCACATACTGCACAAGAATAAAGTAACACGAGATTTCTTTACTTCTATTTCTATTTAAGTTGCCCTTATGCCTAAAAACATCACAGGCTCTGTTGTGAAGTAATTTGTCCATTTAGGCCATGTTTGTTTGGGCAGACATGGCCTTGGGATTGATTAATAGTCCAACAAATTCATAATCCCATGTTTCGCCAAGAAAATTGGGATCCTAACTAATCATGCTAACCCCATATGGGGAACTATTGAATCCCAAGAAGTGGAGCAAATTGGAGATTAAGAAGAGGTTCAGACTAATTGGCAAAATTACAAAATTGAAATGATTTTCCCTCATAATTTTGAGCCAATCCAAGCATGCCATAGGATACACAACCTAAAGAGATTGATAATCCCTGGACTAACAGTCCTGCGAATGCTAATTCCTTCCAATCCAGCTGGCCAAACAAACACAACCTTAAGGTTATTAAGTATAACTCAAAGATCATATTGTACACTACATTAATACATGAAAGTATTTACTTGTAATGACACAACCGAAGTCGGAAAATATTATATACATATATCCAAATTGCTGTTGAAGTAATAGGGATAAAAAGAAATCACCTCTTGTGCAATGCTCATTAAATCTTCCATGGTTAATTCTCCATCACCTTCACCCGGAGATGGATTTTCAATTTCCTCACTACTCTCAGACCTCAAACTCTTTGCTTCTTGTTGTTTTTGACGAGCACATTCCCGAGTTTTTCTCCCACCTCTGGTGCATCTTTTCTTCTCAAACACAGTTTCGCGGAATTCACTATCACTACCTACATCTTCTTCACGGCATAATTTTTTTCTTCGTTTCTTTGACTCACATTTCGTGAGTAAACAAGTGTTCACCTCTGAAGGTTCCTGATCTGAAACCCCAAGAGGAATGTCTTTTTTAATCCGTTTAATCCCTGCTGTCGACTTGGACTTGGACCGAAGAGATTGGGATGCTATTCCTTCTTTCACCTTGTTATTTACATGTTTGTTTTCTTCTTCAGATTTGCTTACTTGGTCAGAAGCAGCTACACCCAACATCCATAGGGGTAATCGCCGCTTGGTACCCAAATCATCCATTATTCACACTCTGTTTGGTTTCGTTTTCAGAATCTGTGTTTTTACCAAAAAAATACTAAAATTTAGTTCATGTTTTTGAATTTTCAAATATTATTTTTGCAATACACACACATATATATAGAAACTGTGAGGGTTTTACCCAATTAGTTTTTAGTAATTTTCAGAAAACAGATTCTGAAAACATCCAAATAGATTCGTACTCTCACTATCTTCTTCGTGCCCAGATATGATCAATCAAATCCCAATGAATTACTTATCTACACAAAATCAAACAACAGTAAAAGAATTACTCTACTTTTTGCAGAGAAAACGAACTACGAAAACATAAATAGTGTGAAAATCAGCAATGATATCAAGAATTGGCTCAAAATTGACAATTGTTCTGATGTGGTTTTGCTTTGTGATGAAAAGAATCAACTACCAAAATCACATCAAAAGAAAGAACGAGAGAAAGTAAAGAAGGAAAGAAAGAAATAGGTGAGGGATACCTGAATGTCATGTGAGGCTCTGGTTTTGAATAGCGATCTCAAATTCGAGCAAACGAGCGAGAGAGAGAGAGAGGTCAATGGTTGGGGGCTTTTCTCAAATTAAGTTAAATTAGCAACTTAATTCTCAGGGCCATTTTCCTAAATAAGTTAATTCTCAAACTAAGCCTAGTTTTCAAAGAATTTTTAGAATGAGTTAACTCGCGGTTCACAATCGCGATTTCAGCATTTTTCCGCCTGCCTCGCGTGGAAGTGGGCAAAACTTAAATTCGTGGCTACAAAAAGTGATTTCGATTAACAAATCGCGGTTACAAAACGCGATTTTAATTAATTTTTTTTGCTTTTGAACTCGCTGTTACAAATAACGATTTTATCCAAAAACATTCTTAATTTTTTTTTGCTTTTGAACTCGCTGTTAGAAACAGCGATTTTATCCAAAAAACATTTTGTTCTTAATTCGCTGTTGAGAACCACGAGACCTTTCTGAACTCGCTGTTTGTAATCACGAGTTTAACAAAAATCATTTTTCTTATGAACTCGCTGTTCCAAACGACGTTTTATGAAAAGCTAAAAAAATCATATTCCAAACGACTCTGTGAACTCGCTCTTTGTAACCACGAGTTTAACAAAAATCATTTTTCTTCTGAACTCGTTGTTCCAAACGACGTTTTATGAACACAATTAACCACCCTCTTTCAAACCACGCTTTTTTGTCAATTTTTTTTCTCCTATAATTGTTGTTATGAACCACGCTTTTAGCGTAATTTTTTTTTTTAGTTTCAATTTAACTGAACTGTAAAGAAGAAATTTTTTTTTTTTGGTTTGTTTCGGTTGTCATTGTTTTGGTGATAATGTATTTCAGAATAATTTTTTGGGTTAAAATTATTTTACTAAAACCGTTCTCATGTTAATTTTTTTTCTTTTCTCTTGTCTTTATTTTGGGTTAGAATGTGTAATTCAGTATTTTTTTTTGGTTTGACTAAAGTAAATTTATTTTATTTTTTCTTGTGTTTGTTTTGGGTTAGAAGGTAATAATGTAATTCATAAATTTTTTGAGCTTTAGTAAAGCCGTTTTGATGTAAATTTTTTATTTTATTTTATTTTTTCTTTGTTTTGGGTTAGAAGGTATTATTCAGTAATTTGTTTGGGCTTTAATAAAGCCGTTTTCATTTAAATATATATATTTTTCTTTTGTCTTTGTTTTGGGTTAGAAGGTGATAATGTAATTCATAAATTTCTTTTCGCTTTACTAAAGCCATTTTCGTATAAATTTTTTATTTTTTATTTTTTTCTCTTACTTTGTTTTGGGTTAAAATGTGTTATTCAGAAATTTGTTTTGGCTTTACTAAAGCCGTTTTCATGTAAATAATATACATTTTTTTTTTCTGTTGTCTATGTTTTGGGTTAGAAGGTGATAATGTAATTCATAAATTTCTTTTCGCTTTACTAAAGCCGTTTTCATGTAAATTTTTTTATTTTTTATTTTTTTCTCTTGTCTTTGTTTTGGGTTAAAATGTGTTATTCAGAAATTTATTTTGGCTTTACTAAAGCCGTTTTCATTTAAATCATTTTTTTTTTCTGTTGTCTTTGTTTTAGGTTAGAAGGTGATAATTTAATTCATAAAACCTTGAGGAAAAAACACATAAGTCTCCCACAAAAATACATAAGTAGTACAGACATAAGTCTCGGACAACAATACATTGTGGACACCATGAACTGAACACACAATACATAGATAAACATAACAGTTAGACAGACAAATATTAACCAGACAATCTGATAAACTCATTACGAAAACACTTACTCTAACACAGACATTACATATTAATGCATGACATAATATTGGCGAAGTGTAGGCATTAACACCTAATTCGCGCTTAAATCGGTAGGTGGCTCAGAGTCCGAACAATCCGAAAGCTCAGCGTCAGAGACAAGCTGAGGATCCTCCATGATACCCTTGATAGCCGCATCATTTGGTTCTGTTTTGTTCTTCTGGGCATCCTTCTTAACTATGTATAGCTGCATATCGCGGGCTAACCTACGGCCCATTTGAGAAATCTCACGTTGTAGTCTTTCACATAGTCGATCAACATTATCAGGATCTTCCTTTTGGATCTCAACAGAACGTGCTTTTGGCACCTTCAGTCGATTTTCCCGACATAATCTTTCCATTTGCACTCGCTCTATAAATAGTACGGGCCACTTCAGAAGTCTAGCGTTTGCTAAACCATATCCTGTTTGATTATTTGATGGATCCTCCACCAAACCACATGGATCTCGATAGTACTTGGGCATGACAAAATGTCGCTTCCCAAACCTATCATGATAAGCACAAGAGGCATCTAACAAAGGAAATGGTGTTTCATCTTCAGCATCGCCACTTCGTCTTCCCCCTCCTCGTCGTGAACTGTCACCCCTTTGCAAGTTCCTACCACCTCTGCGATTCCCACTCCCTCCCATGAACCATGTAGCCATGCTAATTTTTTAAAACAAATGAATGATAATTTCGTAGGGCGAAATGAGTTGTAAGGTTATGTCTTCACCTTTAGTCGTTTATATAGTTGGTTGTGAGCAGCTTTAGAAAGATGGCCTTACATGATAATCCCACATATACGAACAAGGTATGAGTTGTCAGTAGAATGAAAAAATAGAGAAAAAGAAATATTGTGTACCAAGTCACGTGACTTGACAATCCATCTGCATATACCGACAAAGTAAGGCATGCTCACTGTAAGGTAAATCAGTGAATTCACTGTTGCCATGTGACTTTCTGAATTGAGAATCGCACACATATTAATAAGAAATGAGTTGTCATTGTAATAAAAAAATCGAGCAAAAAATCGAGAAAACCAAAGTCTGTGCACCAAGTCACATGACTTGACAATCCGTCTGCATATACTGACAAAATAAGGGCATACTCCTTGTAAGGTAAATCAGTGAATTCACTGTTGCCATGTAACTTTCTGAATTGAGAATCCCACATATATCAAATTGGTGTTGAGGTAAATCTGTTTGTGTATAATTAATTGTAAATAGTGATTTTGACAAGCAAATCAAGTAAAATCAATTGGGTTTTAAATTCCTTACTAGAGTCATCATTTTGATTGGACTTCCAGGAATTGGAAGCCGACTCTTTCTTCTTTCCCGATGGAGATTAAAATTCTTTACATACAGGATCCCTATTTCACGAGCCCCAGTTAAGAGAAGCTTTTCACCGAGCTACCTGCTCTGTTTTATGTGTTGTTCAAGGCGGTTGTTCGTTTTTATGAACTTTATTTAGTTCCCCAATTGGACCAACCACTTGGCTTTGAGCTTGTTTGTCCAGCCCCCAAGTTTAGTTATCTGTCAACCCCCCGTTCCTTACTAGAGTCATCATTTTGACTGGACTTCCAGGAATTGGAAGGCGACTCTTTCTTCTTTCCCGATAGAGATTGAAATTCTTTCCCGACTCTTTTTGTTTTATGTGTTTTAAGTATTCACATAATTCAACATACATTAATTCATTTGTTAATCCAGAACATTCATTAACTCATTACAATTCAATAAAGAAAGTCATGAACTAATAAATATGCAGTTATAAATGTAGTTATTTCATAAATTTCAGGTTCATAAAACAAATACTTGAAATACATCCGTACGTTAGATGAACAACAACATTGTCTTGCACTCCAGTAACGAAGATATGAGACAACATACAAATATATATGAAAGATAAAGGTGTTTGATTTCTCATTCCTCATCTGACATGTAGTAGTCAGAGAGATATTTGTCATTGTTTAAGACATTATTTCGCTCAATCACTGTCAAATCTCTGTTGCTTGCTTCTGCCATTTCGGTGGCTAGCTGAAGCATGAAATGTCGTCATCTCCGCATCAACATTCTGTTGTTCTCCTTCTTAATTCTGCTAACTGCTTTTTCATAGTCACTAACATTTCGTCTAGCCATCGTCAATGAACGACGATGAGGTACCGGTGCCCCAAAGTTACGTAGATCATTAAACAATCCTTCTTGCTCCGTTACCCTGAACGCCCATTCAGCTCGGATACCAGCATAATAATCCTTCGGACTCGAGTACTTTTCGCTCTTGTAGTCATAAGTAAATGGAGGTAGCAGCCACACTTTCGGATTTCTTTGCTGGCGTGAACTTCCTGCACCTCTTGAAGACATTGTTCATAAAATAAACAAACAAATAATAATAGTAATTGTAGATATATTACTATTGTTATGGCTTGAACAAACATCATACTGGGGGTGTCGCTATTTATAGACATCATACTGAGGGTTAACTAGAGATAATCTAGTAACGATAATGCATGCTGGGGCACTATGGAAGAAGTGATACCCGTGATATTATTTTTTAGCTTTTCATTTCATGCAATCCTGAGTACCCGTGACTTTGTGTACCTATAATGTAGTCATGGACGTGGTTGTCAGATAAAATCATAATTGTAAGCCAGAGGATGACAATGCAATCCTTTCATATTGGAGCAGTGAGTTGTCAAATAAAACAACATGCAGTGAGTTGTCATGCGTATGCCAACTGACATGCTTACTTTTTTAATATAGTAAGTAGTCACTTCAAATTGACGATTTCAGTACAAATTGGTGTTTTCAAAAAATTATAAATGAAATTAAATGCTTAAATTTTCTTTGTTTTAAAGTAATATTCTTCGTAAACAGTCTACATTTTATCTTATTTTCACTTAATGAACTTCACAGTCATCCCATTTTCTTCTCTTTGCATTTTTTTGCTTCTTTTTATATTCGGTAAATTACACTTTACTCCTTCAGTCCATCACATAATTGTTTATCAACATTATTGCCGTGTGGTCGTATTGATGTGACTTAGATGAATTCTGAAATGTGATAAAAAAATAAAACATTTATTCGCGCTGCAGAAAGTCACATGCATCACGTAATGTGAGGAAAAAAGTGACAAAGTATATAAGCATGGCAAAGTCAGAAAGTCACATGCATTACTGCATCACTGCATCACTGCACAAAGTCATATGCATCACTGAATCGCTGCACAAAGTTAAATGCATCACTGCATCGCTGCACAAAGTCACATAGCATCTAAGGAAAAAACAAAGCATCCAAATTATTACGTATGTTCAAGTAATTGCTGAGC